TTAGTGGTCAAGATAGTACAATGTAACTTGTATCAAGTGTAGTTTGGGTGTTAAAAGAGTTTTTTGTTATGCAGTGGTTTTCTGTCATATGCACAGGTTTGAGTTCTCTGAAATATCAAGGTTATGAAATGAATTCATTGAAAATGAATTGGGCCAAGTTTTTTATACTAGCTTATAGATGCTAGTGAACATATAGCACTTTGTGTATACAGTTTATTTGTGGTTCTTTCTAAAAATATGTATTAGTTTAGCCTGATTAGGTGACATTAAAAACTGACATTACTATATAAGTGATATTTTATTAAAATGCAGACCTGATTATGTACCTAAACTGGAAGAAAGTTTGTATGATACTCTTGTTAATAAGTGAATTGATACACCAAATACTAAAATTGTGTTCATGCTCAGCAGGCTTTTTGCATGCTGTTAGCATTGTCGTCCTATTTCTATTATAAAAGCTCGACAGAAATACCTTCCTCTCAAATGAAGCATCACTTTAGAAATGTAGACTTACCCTGGCATATTTGAGTCTATCACGCACATTTGTAAAGATTCCTTTTCTATTACTTTAAGGACTTTCAAATTTAAGTTTTTTTACAATTTCTTTTTGAAGGAAGATTTCTCACTTGATGATCAGATTTGCTGGAATTCTTAGAAGACGTACTTCAGTTTCAGTTGGCCAGATCGCTGTGATTCCTATGGATGGTCCAGATTTTGTAACTTATGTTTTGAAATATAGGCTTTGATTATTTTTTTTTGCTAGCCATTTGTTTGTGAGTTTTAAAAGATATTTAGAAGTATAGAGAGTAATATAAGAAATATCCATAATGCCCCCTAGAATTCCTCTTTTAGTGTTTTGCCAGGTTTTACACAATGCATTTTTGCAGAGCTTTGTATTTGTATTATGAATGATACCTGGAAGAATAGCAGTATATAATTTTATATATACTTACCTCTTGAGGAAAATTTTTACTGAACAGTTTTGCTTGTATGTTAATACTGTACTTCTGATAACATTTAAGAAAGGCAAATGTATGTTTGGTCTTAGATAGTTTGAAGGATTTGGTTTTATGTAGCCAAAGTGGTATCTTTTTTTAATTGGTTCTTAACACTTACATCTGCCAAACTTGTAATGCCTCAAAGTGCAGCATATCCAAATGATCATAAGCAGAATATTGTGGGTAATAAGCATTTCCTTACTGTTTGACCAGTGCTACTTCCTTAAATATGTGCTAGGAGGATGTGCAGTATGCCCAGAGTACGCTGGTGTGACGCTGGAGGTCAGGGGATCATATTTAAAAGCGTTTTGTTACTTTCCTTCCTGAACAGTCTTAAATATAGAATGTAAATTGGAGACATGAAGCTGTAAAACACAAAATACAGTATTGAGAGTCAACTGCATTTTCGTTTTCCATTTTGCCTTAAATGCTCACACAGACATTCGGATGCAGAGAGAGAACAAAGGACTGGAGAAATCTTCCTCTCTCTCCTTGGTTGCAAACCAGATTCGGTGTATTGTTTCCAGACTATTTAGGCCCAAAATAAAGAGACACTCGTCCATAGAAAATATTAGAGATCACTTTAAAAATATAATTCTTAGATTGTTTTGCATTTTCAAAAAAATTGCTTTGAAAAGCAGTTCTATATTTTGCATCTTCTGAATCCATGGTTTAAAATAATGGTGTTCCAGTAAGAATATATTGTATTACGTTTATAGTCGTCCTGTGCCTCCCACCCATGGTTATGTAGTTATCTTAAAATGAGACATGCTGCTTATGTTCAGGAATGTTCATCTAGCATATTAATTACTCTTTACTAATTATATACCCAGAAACCAATTTATGATATCAACTACCAGTTGAAAAAGCACTTGTGGTCATTTTTTGGACTGAAGATTTTAAATCAATAACAAAGCAAAGGGAAACAAATTCCTTTCAGAGAATACCTTTCTGTTGTGACTTAATTGACTCTGAAAATTCCCACACTGCATCCCTTGAGAAAGAGTTGCATCAGATATTGTCTCTTCCATAAATTAGTTGAAAATGAAGCTTTGACTTCCCAGAGCACCTTTGAAGGCTTGGTAGGGAGCAGTTGGGTCATGAAGGGTTGTACTTTTCCAGCGAAGACAGAATAGTCTGGGAATGATGTATATGATGCAGAGATGGTCAGTGGACTATGCAGTCTGCACAGTAGTTAGATTCCTTTCAGTGGCCTTTTGTGTCCTCTTTAGTACTACCTGGCTGTTTTAATGGCTTTTATAAGCTAACCTCTGGGAAAACTGCACTTCATTCTCTATATTCTTCCAGAAAAATCCAACAATGATTGTAGCACCACTACGTGTAGTAGGCACATGTTTCTGCCTGAGCATGTAGCAACATATGCTTTGCACCAGGCTATGTCTAAGTTCGAAGGAGAGGCTGTGCACAACCAGGTCCAACTTTGCCAGTTGCCCCCAAGAACGTTTGGGTCATCATTGTTAAGCATCATTGTTGAGAGAAGGGCAAGGTGGACAGCAGTTCCTGTACAGACTTGTGTAGACTGCTCACAAGTATCAGTAGCTGAAACCCCAGCTGTTCACTCATCTTTTATAAAAGGACTTTCCCTGGGCGAGGTCATTCTTAATAGCCGCTGTTAGCTCCGAACATGGACGGTTTCAGGTCAGAGAGAGGTTTCATTGAATGCATGTCTAAAAAAGTTAACCGACTGTTTGGAATGTGCTTACCTAATGAGTAGATTTTTCCAAGGGTGAAATTTGAAGAATATTTTAACTGGGAGACATTATGCATATTACTATTGTGTTTTTGCAATACAGCCAGAGTTTTCTATGCAAACACGGTACTGAATTCTTGTATGGAATTGAAGGGAGGAGGGGCTAGCTCTTCAGTTGCACATTTTCATGATTATACCTGTAGCCAAGACCACCATCTGCCTATCCTGTGAAGATAAAAGTCAGCTATGAAAGGCCCAGAGTACCCGTGAGAGAACTGGGGAGATGCTCTATGCACACTCTGTATGGTGTGCTGGGCTAAATAGCTTATTTAAGTAGTTTATCACACATAATGTACTCACGAAAATATAACTTTTGTATTGATGGACCGAATTTTGAACACCATTGTAAATATTTTTAAAATATTTTATTTGAAAGGCAGAGTTGTAGAGAAAGAGGGGGGAATCTTTCACCCTTTGGTTTGCTCCCCAGATGGTTACAATGGCTGGGGCTGGGCCAGGCTGAAGCCAGGAGCCTGGAACTCCATTCAGGTCTCCCATGTGGGTGCTGGAGCCCAAGCACTTGGATCAGCTTCTGCTGCTTTCTCGGGCACATAAGCAGGAAGCAGAATTGGAGCAGTTGGGGTTCGAACCGGCACCCGTATGGGATGCCGGCATTGTACATGGCGGCCTAACCTTCTGTGCTACAACACTCGCCCCAAAATGTGAATATTTTTAGAAGGCCCCAAATTATGCCAAGTGAAAAGTAGTGGCAAGCGATGCTGTATATACTACCTCATGCCAGTTTTAAATATACATACCTAAATACACAGAAATGCAGTAACAAGTCTTAGAAGGAAATATGGCTAAATATCTATGGTTATCTCTGAGCAGTGGGGATGTATTATTTTTTTCTATATAGCTTTCCAGATTTTCTGTAGCACATGTGTATTTTGTAGTCAGAAGGTATAAAAATACAGGAATAAACTGAACTTTGTTTCTTTGTGTTCCCTACACCTATAAGTTGATGACCAGAATTTATATTGGCCTTGTCTAGTTGTTCTCTCTGGACTATAGGAAAATGCTAATGTGCATTTCCTGTATCCAGCCGTCTATTGAAATGGATTTTGTTCTCTCTGGTGATGGTTAAAGTGTTTGTTAATCCAGATGGTCAATAAGACTGACTTTGGAAGAGACTTAGCAAAATACATTGAGTTAGAAAATCGTGGCATAAATTATGCAGAAAAGCATTATCTGAGAATTCTAGATGGGCAGCTCAATACTAACACTTCAAAATTGCTTAAAGGTTAACTCACTGTTCACTTCGGTACTTTCATTAGAATTTGTGGAAAAAGTAGCTTTGAAAGGCTACTAAGCATAGAGTGAAATAGCAGTTCATTTTTTTTTATTAAGTATCCAAGAGTAGTTACTATTTGTATAGGAAGTGCGCATTATTTCTGTATAATTATTAAAAACATGAAAACACCCAGTTGGGCTGTTTTAAGAGTTAAAAGAAGACCTATTAAGAACCAGTGTGGAAGCATAAAATCTGTGGAAATTTTGGAATTGCATGTCAGAGTAGGTTAATTCCAGCATTTCTTTGTAAAGATAATATAACCCAATATTGAAAACTGACCTGTTTTCTCTTCAGTAGTTTGGGAAATGGGCCAGTAAATACTGTGGACGCTGAGAACCAATAAATCTCATTCCCCTACTTGAAAAAATTTTCTTCAAAATTTTTTTTGTCTCCATAGTTGTGGTCAAGTATTCACATTGATTCCGTTGTGCTTTGGAGTAAAAGCGTATAGATTTTAGCCTCTGACCAATATTATCTATGTCTGCTAGTGATGCTTCATTGATAAAAACATACCTTGGTTTATTGTTTGGTAACATTTCTGTGTGCTTGTGAACTGTATTTTTTTCCTTCTATAAATACTGATAAACATCTTAATATTTTACGCCTTTTTCTTATTAATGCCCTTCAGTGTTGAAACGTGTACTATCCAATGTGGTAACCACTAGCTACATGTTAAAATTAAGCAAGAATCAAATATGTTTCTCATTTGCACCAGTCCCATTTAAGGTGTTTAGTAGCCACCAGTGGCAGGAGGCTACTGTCAAGATAGTGTAGATTATGGTATTTTTTCAATATTGGAGAAAGTTCTATTGGATGCCACTCAACTCAGTTTTCAGGCCCATTTAAAAATTATTTGGATATATCATCCTGTGTCTTAGGATATGCTTTTGCTTACTTATATTTTCCTCTTACTTTATTTTACCTTTCTCTTTTCTAGTTTAAAAGGATGCTTAATCGGGAGCTCACTCATCTCTCTGAAATGAGTCGGTCTGGCAATCAAGTGTCAGAATACATTTCAAACACATTCTTAGGTAAGAACAGCAACATGCAATTAAATTGTTTTTTGGAGGAAAAACAGGGTACCAACTCCTTTTGAAAACCAGATGTTAGACTTTTTTCATTCATCGTGTTAATAATTTGAGTATAAGCCTCTAAGCCTTAGTATGTGAGGCAACAAAGTACCGTTTTGTCTTTTTCAGTTGTATTTAGGACTTTAGAGATTTTTCTGAATCACAGATGTATATTGCCATTTTTGTAAAATTAAGCTGTAAGTACTTTATGGAGAGATCTTTGCCATGGGTTGAACAGATTCTTGTTACGATAGAAGTGATCTCTGCCATCAGTGAGCTGACAGCAAACCTGGTAGGCAAATACAATGCAATTGGTAAAGAAAGGTTTGCCGATTAGAGCTGTGAGTCTAGGGCACTCAAAAGCAACCCCTCTGTCCCAACCACAGAAAGAAAATGCAGTAAGAAAGAAGTCAGTGATCTGAATATATCATAGAGATGCATTGATTTTCAAAAGAAAAAATTTCTAGGATGTTAAAGCATGTGTGGGAACTGGAATCCTTCCACTAAAATGAAGTGTACATTAACCAAGTGTTTTGCTTTCATAAGGCTTACGAAGGTTTTACTATTACAGAGGTATTCACCACTGGGTACATTTTGTATTATTTCATAGTGGCATTTATTTGTCTAACATTGTGTCTGAGGGTATCAAATGAAATCCACGACACATTTTAGATGCACAACTCAGAAAAGGATAGGAGGCTTCAAGACATTTGTGGAGAAATTGTGGTCAGCTGGCCTTAGCAGGGAAGCTGACACTTGGGTCACCTGCATCAGAACGCCCAGCTCCTCTTCTGCTGACTGCTTCCTGCCGGGAGACAATGGCTCGAACAGTTGGCTTCCTGCCGGCCGTGGGGGGGGGGGTTGGATGCCCAGCTTTCACCCTCAACCTGGCCGAGCCCTGGCCATGGTATGCATTTGCAGAAGGAATCAGCAGCTGGGAGTTTTTCGATCTCTCAGTTTCTCAAAACGTTTAAATGTACACATTTTCCATGAACTTTTGAAGCTTCCTTGAATTACTTGGAAACATTTCTTAGCATGGAAGATACAACCTGTCCAGTTATGCATGCTAAGAAATGTAGAAAATGTTCAACATTTATTATTCTGTTTTTTAAGATAAGCAACATGAAGTGGAAATTCCTTCTCCAACTCAGAAGGAAAAGGAGAAAAAGAAAAGACCAATGTCTCAGATCAGTGGAGTCAAGAAATTGATGCACAGCTCCAGTCTGACAAATTCAAGTATCCCAAGGTTTGGAGTTAAAACTGAACAAGAAGACGTCCTTGCCAAGGTGAGATTTCATGGACTGTAACCAAAGTGAAGGCTCCGGGGGAATTGAGTCCTTCTAATTTGTGGAGGACTCTTTTTTAAAAACCTCTTTGTAAATTATTTGAGTTTTAGGAAGTATATAAACTTACACAGGGAGTTTCTTTATTTTGCAACTTGCTTTGATTGGCCTTAAGAGTGAGAAATCCATCATTTATTCTGCATTTTAGGTGAGTATCTGTGTTGAAGAAATGTTTTGAGATCCAGAGTAGGTAGATAGGTTGTATTGTACCACAGTTATTCTACAGTTTTCACTACATTTTTAATATAATTGATACACCACAGTCATGTAAATGAATCCTTGCTTTTAAAAAGTCATTCTTACGTGACTGTGTTCATCAATTCATTTTCTGTACTACCTTCTAACTTTCTGGTACCTTTCGTTAACCCCAGGAACTGGAAGATGTGAACAAATGGGGGCTCCATGTTTTCAGAATAGCAGAGCTGTCTGGTAACCGGCCTCTGACTGTTATCATGCACACCATTTTTCAGGTAATGTAGTTGACCTCTGGCTGGATGGTGCATGCATTTTGGCGTCTTTACTGCTGCCTTTTACCTTTTTTGATTTATTTTTCTTACTGGCTCTATTATCAAGGGCTAAATCGAAATACAGGAAGGACTGTGGTAAAACACAGATAATGTATTAATATTTTACTTTTTTAAAAAAAGATTTACTTGAAAGTGAGTGTTGCACACAGAGGGGCAGAAGCCTAAGCACTTGGGCCATTAGCAGAGCGCTGAAGCCCAAGTGGAGCTGCCAGGACCTGCGCCCATATGGGATGCTGTCATTGTAGGTCTGGTCCCTGTTATTTTCCTCTTCAGAAAAACTAAATGCATTAAGCTCCCCTTTGAGCCTTGTCCCAGCACCGGGTGGGCTTTAAATGAGAAGCTGAGACTGCAGATTAATGGGAGAGTGCAGCCCCTTCCTGACCCCAGGTAAAGCACTGGGGCAGGGGGGCTCCCCAGGGACACGCCGAAGTCCCTGGATCTTCCCCCAGGTTTCCTTTTCCCTTGGTAGACATGAGAAAGTTCTATTTCCATTTCTGGGTTATCTGTAGGCAGCACTGGGGTGTGATTTTTTAACATCCTTGGTGGAACATTTTTCTTGCAAAGACAAGAATTTTCAGAGTATTTCTTCTCCTCCAGGAGCGGGATTTATTGAAAACCTTTAAAATTCCAGTGGATACGTTGATCACGTACCTTATGACTCTGGAAGACCATTACCACGCCGACGTGGCCTACCACAACAACATCCACGCTGCAGATGTCGTCCAGTCTACTCATGTGCTCTTGTCCACACCTGCTTTAGAGGTAAATGTCTCTCGTCCCTTTATTCTTACGGCAAGTGTTGTGGTACAGAAAATGCTTGGCCTCACTAAAAGTATAGGGACTGTAAGGGAAATAAGTTGGGCAATGATTTATATTATCTATACTATTTTTATGTCATCACAACTCTCCCATGTTGATTTCATCGTTCATGCTGTTGCCATGTTATGGGGAAAGGCCAGTAATTCTAGAAATCCTAGAATGCACAGGAAATCATGTTTTCAGAGGTCAAGAGTATCTCATTATCGAAAATATTTTTCTTGACACCTTGTGAAAAAAGCTCCGTTTTTACGTCAAAATTCTGGGAAGTTCTCATTTGTTTATCGTGGAGTAATATTACCTGTGTTGTCTATTTTTGCAGGCTGTGTTTACAGATTTGGAGATTCTTGCAGCAATTTTTGCCAGTGCAATACATGATGTAGATCATCCTGGTGTGTCCAATCAATTTCTGATCAATACAAGTAAGTGAAGTTGACATTTCCTGAGGAAATGGATGACTAAAAGGTTTTGTAAACTTGGGATTCTTTTCCACAGCCATAATGCTCTTTTGAAACCTGTGTATGATAATATAATTTAGCTCTAAAAATTATGTCCCATGAACCATTTAATATCTTAAAAACATGAAGGTATCTAAAAGTAAAGTACGCAGAGAGATTTAGCATTAACTACTGGAACCTTTAAGTCTTCCTCACTAAGTAGAGCATTTAGTCCACATTAGGGGCTATAGCACTTCTCCCCATCTCCGCTTGTCCAGGCCTTGTTTTTGCCTTTTTAAGTCTCTTAAAAAGACTAACAGAAACTGCCATCTACAGTATTTTAATCATTACTAACATTTCACCAGACAAAAAGTTCATGGCAGATAGAATTATTTTTGAATGTATGCCTTTTTTAATATATAACTCTTTATACATGAATATTTGAAAAAATTTTTCTGAAGTCTATTTCAAAGAGCAGAGACATGGCCGGCGCCGCGGCTCACTAGGCTAATCCTCCGCCTTGTGGCGCCGGCACACCGGGTTCTAGTCCCGGTCAGGGCTCTGGATTCTGTCCCGGTTGCCCCTCTTCCAGGCCAGCTCTCTGCTGTGGCCAGGGAGTGCAGTGGAGGATGACCCAAGTGCTTGGGCCCTGCACCCCATGGGAGACCAGGAGAAGTACCTGGCTCCTGCCTTTGGATCAGCGGGGTGTGCTGGCCGCGGCGGCCATTGGAGGGTGAACCAACGGCAAAAGGAAGACCTTTCTCTCTGTCTCTCTCTCTCACTGTCCACTCTGCCTGTCCAAAAAAAATAAAAAGAGACAAATTTTCCATCACTAATTCACTCCTCAGATGGCCACCAGGTGTTTCAGTGTGGCCTGCCACGTGGGTGACAGGGACCCAAACACCTGGACCATCTTCCTCTGTTTTTCTCAGGCTGTTAGCAGGGAGCTGGATCAGAAGCGGAACAGCCTGGACTCACACTGTGTCCATTTGGGATGCCAGCATTGCAGGTGGCAGTCTAACCAGCTACACTAGACCTCCAGCTTGTTTTGTAACTTAGTTCCATTTTCTATGAAGTTTTTCAAGTATCCTAATATAAGAAGTCTTCTCTGAATTTGAAAACGTAAGGGCTGCTAGGGAGTATTTAACATTGGGCTTCTGAAACACACCTGGACAGAAAATGTTTAGGTAGTACTTGAGCTTTGCCTTAAAACATGCAAAGTGAACCTGTATGTCCCTCCTACAGCAGGTTAATACATTATAGCACATTTTACTTGAGTTTATGGATAATAGTCTTCTCATAGCAGTCTAAATGTAGTATCTGTGCATTATAACAAAATGCATTTTAGTGACTTGCCTATATAACAGAAGACTAGAAAGGTCAGATTTCCTGAGAGATGGTTAGTTTGGTTTAGGAACTTTTTTATCTAGGTGAGACAGGATAACATTTTATGTTCTTACCTTGTAAGAATCAGAGCCATCTACATAAATAGTGACGTTGCATGGCATTTGCTGGGATAAACTTAAGGATAAGGAAGACCAGCTCTAGTCTTGTGACCCCTGATTGACACCTGTGTCAGTTTCTGTGGCATCTAAGTAAGTGAGGAAAACCTTGGTCCACAGGTGAAATAAAGGCGCAATTATAGATACTTGGAGAGTAAGTAACCAAGGATACCTATCTGGAGTGGAATACCCGTTGCTGCTTTTCAAGATTCTTTGCTAGTCAGTGGGACCATAGCAACACAGGGGGTTTCACAATCTCAGGAGCTTTGGGCTGCCTGCGTTTTTGTGAGGGGAAGGATGATTCCTGAGAATGAATCAGCATTGTCACATGGTGCAAAAAACATCCCAGAGTTGATCAGACCCTTATTAGAATGACAGGGTTAGCTAACTTGAAACTGGTAAGTCGGCTCACGTGTTTCCCAGTCACATCTGTGCAGCATCAAAAAAGGAATCCCTCTAGTAACTTCTGAACTTGTACTAGATGGGATTTCAGTGTCAATTTGCAGTTGGTATTAAATTGTTTCTTTTTAAAAACCTCTTTTATGGATAGGTTCACTATCAGGTGCACCATCTATTAGGAACTTATTCTCTTACCTCAGGACTGGAGTTTCCCACTTGTCCAAACAGTTGAATCTGTGTTTCTATAGGGTTCTTGTCATCGAATTTGGAAACCTGTAGTGAGGAAGTTTACGTGTGTTACTTTAAGGAAGCTCCTGTGGCAAGGTTAAGGGAGGTATTGTAGGTGATTGGGCTGGGTCCTAGTCCTGTTATGCTCCTGTTTCTTCTTTGTGATTATATTTTTCTTCATCCTTCCATGTGTTACTTGTAGGTGCCAGGTGATTTTTTGCTGGAATAATTGGTTAAGCTTTTTTAGAAACATTGAAGTTTCAGATGAGAAACTAAGTCTTTTTTAAAGGACAAAATGTATAAAGAAATCCACAAACTATTTTGACTTCAGTTTTATTTTCTGAAAAGCTAGAGTAGTAACAAGAGCACAGATTATATAGCATTGATGATTGGAAAGACAAATTGATTCCTGTTAGTCATTTGTTCAGAATCTCCATTTTCACAGTAAGTTTCTAGCAAATATGATTTAAGTAGGCATACCTACAGAGACTGTCAAATATCATGCGAGACACTAGGACTATGTGGGTAAATAAGGCACAGCCCTGGTTCCTAAGAGCTTGCGTTCTGCAGAAAAGCAGCAGCTCACAAGTGAATACATGACAGGAGAGGGTGCTAAGGGTGGGAAAAGTGCAGCATAAGAGCATGAGGAGTAGACAGATGGAAGGAGGGAGACTGGCAGTTTTAATTCCCAGTTGCCAAGGACAAAGGATCAAGTTAAAAACCACTTTTTCTTGTCTAGAATTCCTTTTGAAGACTTGAGTTAGACAGTGTAACAGGCCATTACAGTTTCTAGCCCTACGACAAGTAGAAAAGCCATAGGAACACTGAGTCTGTCTCTTACTGTGGTGTCTGCTCCAGCCCCATCCCTTGGCTGTGGTCTACCATGCGGACCTTCTGACTGTCACTTAGGAGCCTAGTCATTGCCTGTTCGCTGTGCCTTTTAAACAAGCTGATCTCCATAAACCTGTTTTCTTCTTCAAGTCAGACCATTACAGAGCACTCCAGTAGCAAATCCCAGATTTTAATAATGCATCATCTTCACAGACCTAAAGGGAAAAGCTTGGGCACTCACTTCAGAGCCAGGTCCCTTTCAGCTCTGAGAAATGGCAATTTTACCTCCAACCTGGATGTGATGGATTTGCATTTAATTTATTCGTACAGTTGCACTTTGCCAAGCAGATCAACAGACCTGTTTATGGAATTTATCTTTTACCTATCAAAGTATGATAAATTTGAGATTTGGCTTGACCCACATTTATCTTATGCTGTAGAGTACATGTCCTTTATTCAGACAGAATTTTCAAAACCTATTTAATTAAGCTTTCATAAATTAATTGTGAATTAGAAACAAAATGGCAAATAGATAAAACTCACCTGAAATTCCTGATTTTTAACTGATTGGTTAACAGCATTCCAGATTTCTCTTTAGGCACAGAGATAGAAGTAAACAGTTATAAATGACCTTTTCATCTGTTTGACACGTTCCTTGTTAAGAATTATTGCATTAATTGAACCCCTGTTAATGAGTATCAACTTGTGTGATACTCTGAGAGTTACATTTTGTTACAGCAGTTTGCTTTTTCCCCATACTCTTGCCAGTTCTGAGTTTGTCGGCCTTTTTAAAAATTTTAAATTTGATAGAAGAACTCACATTTGTTTTTTTTTCCAGAACTTTTTCTCAAGTATCCTTTAATAAGACTAAGCGATTTAAAATAAAGTTTCTTTAAATCTACTTAAACTTACATCCAAGTGCTTACTATGTACCTAGCTCTGTAATCTCATGCACTGGTGACAAAGTAGATCTCTGCACTCCAGGGGCTTACATGTCACCAGCACTGGGGTGAACAGTTGCCTGGGCAGTGTCTGCAAGAGTGTTTCCAGAAGAGCTGAGCGTTTGAATCAGTAGACTGAGTAAAGGTGATGGCATCACCAGTGAGGACAGGCATCAGTCGACTTCTGGAGGGGGTAGATGAGATTTTGACAGTACTAAAGGAAAACAAGTGCCAACAAAGAATTCTATACCCAGAGAAACTGTCGTTTAGCTGTGAAGGAGAGATAAAGATACTGTAGCACAACCGTTAACAAATGTTAAGACGAAGACATTATAGGATGATGTAGATGTCATCATTGCACCTCGATAATCTAATAGAAGGAAATAAATGAGACTCAGAGCAGACGTAAATGGAGACCAAAAAGGAAAAAAATACAAAATTGACCAGACCTTAGGTAGACTAACAAAACAGAGAAGATTTAGATAACATCAGAGATGAGAAGAGTGGCACAGGCATCCTGCAAAACAGTGAAGAGGCCAATTAGAATGTCCTCAGGTCAGAACTCCTGGGTCCAATACTAGGATGTGGCTTTTGACTCCTGCTTCCTGCAGATGCAGATCCTGGGAGGCAGTGGTGACAGCTCAAGTAATTGGGGTCCTGCCACCCCTATGGAAGACCTCATTGAATCCCTGGCTCACAGTAGCCATTGCAGTTATTTGGGAAGTGAACCAGAGGATGGAAACTCTCTGCCTCTCAAAATAAAAGAGTCCTTAAACATGACATCACTCAAATATGAAGGGACTGCTAAAGATTGTTATGAACACCTATGTGTCAAATCCTGTAACCAAGAAAAGGACAAATTCATGGGCACATGTGTCTTACAAAGATGGAATCATGAAGAAACATTTAAGTAGTTTGAATCAGTAATTAAAAGTTTATCAAAAAACACTGCTTAATTCTACCAAACTTTGAATATATTTTTTTAATAACTGGCACTATATAAAGTCATTCTGGAAAGCCAGCATGTCCTCATATCAAGACCAGACAAAAAAAGCTAAACACCAATATCCCTGATGAACATTGG